TCCTTCAACCAAGTGAACTACACCTGTACTACCTCACCTGCCTCTTACACATTTAAGCCAGCATTGCAGTGTAGTGTCAGCTTTTCAAGAACCTTGAAATATTCCACAGTATTGGTATCATTCAACTTTTCAATGACATTCTTACTCATTTGACCCCTTTTAACTTTTTTAGGTATTCCTATTGCTTTACCTTCTTCTTAGACATTCAAGTCGGCATTGCAGTGTAGTATAAGCTTTCAAAAAAACCTTCAAATCCATACATTAATGGTATTATTCACATTCAAAGCCAGCATTGCAGTGTAACGCCAGCTATTCAGCATGCAGCATTCACCCCCTCAATTTCTTCAGAAATTGCACTCTAGTTTCATACTGGCATTTTACTTGTTTACTTTTGTGACATTTTTAATTACTTTCATTTGAGTGGTCTTTGTGATGACATTGATTACTTCTTCCACCCAGTATGATCACCTCATAACTGAACATGTCAGCATCACTGGGAGACTGAGCAGACCTCCATGGATGTCTTACCTATGCGTCTGTAATCATAGAATCGTGTATATGTGTGTGGGACAGCGTGTCTATACCTGGCCGCTGCATGCGATGGCAGATTGTAAAGATAAACCACTGTAAGCTGCAGTGGCGTTTTTCTCTTATTAATGTGGAGGACACAGGAGCTGTCAGTGCTGTTGTTCCGCTGCTGGTGAAATAGTAATGAGTGTGTATAACAGAGCTGAGCCAGTGTGGTTTACAGCTCTGTTGCACTTGGAGGTGAGGCCAGGGCACATGGAGCACTGACTGGCTGTGCATCATGTCTGTGTGCCGGTGATGGAGACAGAGCAGGAGGCTTCGGTCACCGCTGGAGAAAAGCTTATTGAGAGTCTGAGGTCAGACTCTTTATTTATGTTTTTGGTTTCGGCAATGTATAAAGAAGTTTATTTTGACCACCTTTGACGTCTATAAATTGAGTAAGGACGTCAATATCTGATTATAGCTGTAATTCAGAACAGAGGCTTGAAATAAGTAAATGTAAAACATAATGGTTTGGATTCAAAATGTCCAGGTTATAATTTGTGGACAACTGATGGATGTAAGTAACGTCTAGATCGACTTAGAATTATAATGTGAAGTCTAAATATTATCAGAATGATGATAGATGTGATACCGATCTGTCAGACACATTTGTTGCTTTTCTTTGTTTTATTTTATTGTAGATTGAATATTTTGGGTTTAGCAATGTTGGTCCGACAAAACAAGAAGCTGGTAGATGCCAGACGGACGCTGAGAAAGTGTGGATTTCAGTGTCAAGTTGAATTTGAGGTGATTGCTGTGTTTCACTTAAACGTTGAGCATTAAGCCTTAAACATCTGTCACCATCCGTTAATGATGTGTCCTCAACTTCACTTTGCTTGAAATGGATTCTGAAATACTTGACAAAAATATCCTTATTTTCTATATGACTAATTTACTTTAGTTACTTTAAAATCTTAAAGGGAGATTGGTAGTTTGATTGCATACACTTTCTAGTAGGAATACAACCATAATATATCCTTGTCAAAGATGTAGCCGACTATTTAACTATGACTTTATTTATCTTGTTGCTTGACAAAATCATGAGTGGCTACTGATTGGTGATCATTAAAGACGTTGCCTGTGGCAAAGTCATAGGGCATAACAAGCAATGGCATGCCACTGAGAATAACACTGACTTGGACACTGCAAATTAACACAGTTTGAAGCAATCAGAAACACAGCACAGCATCACCTCAAGTTGTCAGGCAGGTGGCTCGTCCATGTTCTTCCAGCAAAAGTAAATGTGGCAGATGGTCAGCGCAGCAGAGGTGTGTCGAGAGAGCCTGAGAGGCCATGAGGGTTTTGTTTACTCGTTATCACAAAATAACTGTTTGTAATCTTGGTGTAGGGAGCTTTGCTTTCATTTCATGATTGCTTGTAGTCCTATTGACATCATTAATCAACAGACGTGTTGTACTGAAAGGCCGTTTCTACCTGAGGAAGCCGTAATCAAGGTGGAAAATGAGTGCGCTCAGATTTCAGCTGCCGTGCTTGCCGCTTCCCAAAGTTATTTGAAACTTTTAATTAAAGTTAAATGAATTTAAATCTTTGTTGCATAATTGAAGCATGGAAGGAGTACAATAAGAGAAGGGCATTTAGTTTTGAAATTAAAGCCAGCTCTCTTACAGCCATGAATCACAACTCCCATAGGTTTTTTTATGTAGTACTGAAAATGAGCAGGGTGGCTGGACTTATCCATATTTTCTATAATGTTAAAATGTCGAATGTTAATATTAAACGTGGCCAGAGTTTCAAATAATGAGGTTAATATATTTTAAAGAAGTCCCTGTGAACAAACCCTCAGGTTCTGGACAATTTCGAACTGTTTCTTCTACTTTAGAGACAAGCTGAAGTCAACTCGTGATGGATTTCTTTAAATGGTCATCTACTCTAGGCAACTGCAAGTTTTTACATTACATAGACAGCTACATAAAACTAGATGCTAACATCAGTGAGACCTGTAATCTTGATTGCTGATGTTATTAATTTCTCCCCAGTTTTGTATCATATTCGTGCCAGAATATGTTTGGTTGTGAAGATTTTGGAAGCTTTTATTACTGGTTTTTAATGGTTGAAAGTGCCGCTGTACTCTGTTACAGTCATTCCCCCAAATGCAGTGATGGTACGGAGACATTGACAGTGCAGATAGGAAAGACCTGGAAACGCTGACCAATCAGAGCAGCCTGGGCTTGTTTCAGGCAGAGAGTGAAAACAGGTGTTTCAGCACAGACAGTATAGAGAAATAAAGGGTTTCTTTGCCGACGACAGCCTTGATCGGAGCCATAATTTTTTCGTGTCGACCCATTCTCGTAAACATGATATCTCAAGAACACATTGAGGGAATTTCTTCAAATTTGGCGCAAACGTCCACTTGGACTGAAGTATGAACTGATTAGATTTTGGTGTTCAAAGGCCAAAGGTCAATGTCACTGTGTCGTCATTATGTTCTGCAAAAATACTTTTCTGGCCATGATTCAACCCCTTACTCAGAAACTGAATTAGTGACACTAATCTTCGGTGCCCACTCTGGAACTGTGCTGATTGTAGAGATCTTCTGTGCTGCCGAGTGGAAGATGTGTGTGAAGCATCCATGTTTTAGAACATGTAGCTTCTTTGCAGCGATATCTACATTTGAAGCATTGTGTACTGTCATGGCTACATATCAGTCTGGACAGACACGGATGTAAACTGCAACTGCAACTTGACCGATTTGCAAGGGCATACAACTACAAGGCAGTAATTCTAGTTTGACCATTAAAGCACAGACGCATGTTCCAGTAGAAACACAAAATACAAGTATGAACCTGAAAATTAGCATTATACATCACCTTTAAACTAAACGCAGTCAATATTTTTTCAAGGCTACCACTAGGGTAGCATTTTTAAGTTAACTACAGTACATATTTAAAACACTGGAGAGCTTCTTTAGCTTTGTGTAGCTAATTTTAAACTATACTGCAAACAAAAACATTGTAAAAAAAAAAAAACAATAAATACATAATGTTATATCACTGCTTGAGACTTGTTACCTCCTTTGGATCTCTTATTCCCATTTCCTTAAAGTGTATCATGACACCTGAATTTGCTCTCTCGGCTTTAAAAGTGTTTAATATCTATTGAAGAATACTTAGTCGGGGGCGTTTCTGGCTTGTTTTCATAATATAGGCCTAGTGTGGCTTTGCTTGTTTCCACGTGAGCACACAGGCTTATGATCTGCTGACCTTTGGAGTTTCAGCTATAGAGCCGAGCTAGATGTTCTCACTAAGCAAACAGATCAAGTATTTAGATTCCCTGCTCCTATGGATTCCTAATGTTTCTCTCTGTCTCTCTTTCTTTGCCAATATTTAACCAGAGCTATATTTTTGGGAATTCCCCTGCTGTGTTTTTGTGTACGCAGTGTTTACAGGAGTGTGTCTTCAGGCACATGGCGAGAATAGCAATTTCGGCTTACGCCCACTCATGTTCTTCTCGGGGCCCGCAGAATGCTTGACATTGTGTTAATTTTGGACTTCGCATCACAAAAGGTGTAGTTTTCACAGATCCAACAATCTGCCAAACACACTTACCAGTCCCTAACGTCGGTCCCATTAGAGCCACCATCCGCGGCCATCTGCACCGTGACTCATCTGACTGTCATTTCACGCCATTTATAGGCCGTGTTTGGAAGTCTCCCCCTCAGCCTCGCCCCGGGATACCAGACCTCCTCCTCTGGCAGTGTCCCCTTTTGGGGTGTGGCCTGAGGATGGAGATTTGACAATGCTGCTCCAATCTCCCAACCCCCCACCCACCACACATCATTACATTTCTACTACTCCCTCTCAATCTTCATCTTCCCAAGAGGTTTGGGCCTCTAACGAGAGGATGGGGTGGAGCATCTGTTCCCCGAGCCTTTCCTTTCACTCGCAGGCCCTCCCTCTCAATCAGTCTCTTTTGATATACCCCCTCTGGCCGCAGTCAGTCTCAATCTCTGCCATCACCACTCACAAACACACACTACAGACACACACAGCACTGCTACCTCCTTCCGTCTGAGCTGCACTCCCTTTTTCTCTCCAGTCTTTTGATTATCTGGTGACTCAACCATTCAGTCAATTTCTTAATGTCACCCTGAAACTGTTGAGGATGGCGATACCTTTGTTAGCTCTCCAATTGTGCATTGTAGACTCATGCATCTTCGCAATACCAGTGCTCGGTCTGTACAAGGATGTCACTCATGCATATGAATCTTTCTAATGTACGTCTGTACATAATAGTCACATGTTTATGTTTGCCTTGTTCAGCTTTCTTGTCCTTGTTTTTCCACTGTGTATGCACATTAAGAGCAACTATGACACCAAAGCCACATTCCTTTTATGTGCACACACCTACTTGGCCATTAAAACTGATTCTCATTAACCTTTTATCCCTACTCTGTGTGTTTGTTTATGCAGGTGAGAAGCAAGACGGAGCCAAACGTGAGCCCAGACCACACTCAGCAAACCTGTGAGATGCTCAGAAACCACCCGACAGGTCAGTGCGTGCACACCTGCACTCAAATGCACAAATGTGCTGAGACGCTAAATGGCTGAATGAAGTGGTTTTACTTCAGCATATTGTGAGAGACATTGAATGACCTTTCGGGGAGAGAAAAGAGCGGTTCTTCTGACATTCTGGATCTGACCTTTTTGATTTTTTTCTCCCACTGTCATAGTCCTTCAGCCCCTGAAGCTTGAACTTTCTTATTCCTCCTGAGTATGGACTCCTGTTAGTTGGTTTGATTTGACATTTGAGTGCTCTGTTGGCATCATGAGAAGTTTGGCAAACTGGCAAAACTCAGCTGATATTAGCATGTCACTTATAAACATGGAGAACACATATGATCAACTTTGGTTTTCGTGCTCTGTAGAAACACTGAATACAGACATCTGTCAGTTTGCAGTCGAATACGTCTTAGCTTGTTAAGAGAAAACACAGCTGTGCAGAGCATTTGCACCCTGTGGTGAAAATGTAGGTTAATCATAATAACTTGATGACAACACTCACATATCCAGAGCTTATTTGACAACAGGAGCAGGTCTGGACTGTGTGTGTGCCTGTATGTGTGAAATGTTTTGTCACAAATGGATAGCCCGTGCTAGCATACCAGATACAGTGTGCAATCATATGTGGGATGTCGATAGAATTAGCATGGAGTGTGCCGGGTACTGATTTTGTACAAAGGGATTTTCCTCTTGTGCAGAAACAGTCTGTCCTACTTACAGAGACGCCACTGCAGCCTAACCTGCTGTTCCCAGCTGGTGCTGCTTTGAAATACATCCCCCCCCCTCCTCCTTCTCTTCTCCTCTCCTCTTCATCTCCCTTTACTCCTCCTCTCTGAGGCTGTGCAGAAGGCTCCACCCCTCCTCCCCTCCTCCCCCCTCCTCTGCTCTTTGAGCCGCGTCCTCTCTGCGTCAGACAGCTCCATTCATGAAAAGTGTGACGTGAGCAGGTCTTCAGCGACCCGGTGACGCTGCCAGCCACCCACTCACATCCCAGGTGCTGTGGGAGTTAGAGGAATGTCCGCCACTCTCCAGCCTCTGTCTCCCTCTATCCCTGCTTTTCTTGCTTTTTTTTCCTTCTTGACCGTCAGCTCAGCCTTTTCTCTCCCGGCTTTTTTTTTTCTCCCATCCCTGCCTCAGAGCTGAGAGAGGACCATGAATCTGAGCTCTGTCTGCTGTGAGTAATCTGCTGATGCTGTGTCTTTGCCATTTGTCTGAATGGAAGCGGTGTGATGTGGAGGTACTTGTCCTCCTTGTAAATTTGTCTTAAATATTGTTTGCTTTGATTGCACTTGCGTGTGCAAAGGGACATTCACGTGTGTACATGTGCTCTGTTTGTATGTGGATCAGCTGTGTCAGTGTTTGTTCAGCAGCAGTGCTGCAGGAGTGTGTTGAGCGGTTGTGCGCCGGTGCGTGCAGGAGCTATTTTAGGCTCAGCTGTGATGCTGCTGCTGCTTTTTGATGCAGTACTTCTCTGTGCCCTCTGAAGGACAGGTTCACATGTAGGTAAAGGTAGAAACCAGCAGAATCTCATCCCCCCATCTCTTCATGGAGCAGCCAGATGATACTCAGAGGCATTATAACGCTGGTGGTTATAGATGATAGACTTTTCTGGGACACACGTGTATTGCGTACAGCCATGGGCATTTTAGTATGTGCACATAAACAAATCACTTTTCCATATTTTGTCTTAGTTAAGTCTGCCTCTCTCTTTGCCCATGTCCCCCCACGGCTTTGACTTTTCTCCCCCACTTTGCATCTACGTCCATCTCTCCATTTTACTCAGCTTGACAGCACGAACGTTCTGTGTATGCCCACCTCTGTCCTCTGCTGCTAAGCATGTTTATGTAACTGCACAGGATGAGTAGCCGGCAGCCGGGCTTTAGAGGAGAGGAGGAGGAGGAGGAGGAGGGGAGCGCTCCATCCATTCTCCACAGAGCGTTTAAAATAATGGCTATATATTCATATCCATGAGGAGTTTGCCATATGGATTTTATTTCCAGAGTGCCTAACTTGGGGTGCTGATTTAATATTAACACATAGCTGAGGTGCTTGTTGCAGGAATAGCATGAACCCTGGAGCTAATAGAAGCACTAATGTGTATTGATTTCCTGGCTTTCTGCTGTGGTATAGACTGTCTTTAGGAAGAAGGACATGTAGTACAACATCCACTTCCTGTTGTTAAACTCACATGCTCCAGTTTTGTTTCTCGACGTGCAGCTTTGTGTATTTTCATATTGCGACCATTAAAAACGGTGTCAGTCACAGCCAGTCTCCTGCAATATGTTTGTCTGTTGTGTCACTTTTTGTGTGTCTGCCTCTCTCCTCGGCCCTTGTTGTTGGCGGGCCAGGCATGCCGTCCCTATTAAAAGAGCACAAGGGGGATTGTTGTGGCAGCAGCTGCTCTGGTGTGCAGCGTTGTTGAGTGTTTGTGTGTGTGTGTTTGTCTGTGTCTCTCTATGCATGTGTGTGTGCTGCTGTCTCCTGGCCGTGCAGGGCAGACAGGCCCAGTTCACATGGAGCCGGCTCCTCTTGTGTCCTTTGTTGTCGCTCTGGGAGTCTTTCCCATTGGAGCGCGGTCGGTACAGTATCACGCCGCAAGCAGCCACAGCAGCAGGAGCAGAAAAGCAGTTTCTCTTTCTCCTTTTTCGTCCGTCTCTCATTCATTTTTCTCCGCTCTCACTCTTTTTCAGTTTACAGCCACGAATTTTCCCCCCTATCTCCCCTCATTCATAACCCTCCATGTCCTTTTCTGTCTCCCTAATCTGCTTTTCTTCCTCTACTTTTCTCTAAGCCATTCTCTCCCTCCACTGTCTCCTTGGCCCCACCGTCCCTTTCTGTCTGTTTACATTCATCATCTATCCGGACGGATCTGGCCAGCATTCATAAACAGAGCTCTGTAAAGCTTTATCGTTAAGCATCGCTGGGAACAAAGAGTCTGCTTGACTGAAAAGGCCAATATTGAAGCAGTGCGAGCTTTTCAGAGCAGAGTATGCGTGATAGTTGCAGATTTTAGGAGGCTGTGTGTCCTGGTTGCAGTGCTGGCTGCAGCCTCACTGAGAGGCTGGGAGAATGAAGCTGGAGGGGAGAGTGTGTGACGTGTCGATGGCGCACACTCTTTTCTTCAGTTATTTATTTTCTCCGATTCTGGCTGGTACCGGCTGAGGCTATTTGAGGCACAAGTTATGTGTGTGTTTGTTGTGCTAATGATTCACAGCCATGTTTACCCTGAATTTTGGTGTATCTCTCTCGAATGTGTCGGTCAGCTGGATTCTGTTTGTTGAACTCACTGACAGAACTAGGAACATACACAGTCAGACACTGATGTATTGGACTTCTGAAGAAGCTGTTTTGCTTTTACACTTTCATCCTCCTGTCAGTCAACTCTTTGGTAGTTTCATTCACACACCTGACTGCCCTCCTCTTCTCCCTTAAATCCATCCATTCACAACATATTCCAGATGATCCCACCTGGCACTTTCCCAGAGGCCTCAGTAGGGCAGCTTTGACCTTGTTCCTGTTTGCCCCAGCAACACCAGTCAAACCCCGAGCAGGCAGGGATTATTGCTCTGTGGCCTGCTTTCCCCTCCAGCCACCACCAGGTATTTAAGTCAGCTCAGGTGAGTCACCAGAGGGAATCAGAATATGAAGAAAAAAAGGATTACTGGGAAATGTCAGCCATGTGACGGCAGATGCCTGAACGCTGTGCCAAAATTTGTTTATTTTCCCCTCCACCGCTGTGCCCACACCAACAGCAGATTATTACTTTCACCCACCTACAGCAGGCTGTCCAATCCCCTCTGGCAGGACTCGCGGCCATGGTAGCGAGGGAAAGCTGATTTAGACATCGGCCCACATCCTGACAATCAAATCAGGACTGGGCAGCTCTGCTGGCAGAGTCGTGTTTCCGAGGTCTCTGTATTTGATGCTTGTGTCGCTAAATATGTTATAATTCTGCGTCTGCTTCCAGCGACAAAGAAATCCATCAGCAGTATGTTTCCAGATTCCGGTTTTAGGACATTGTTTACTCACATGCACCGGCCGTGAAAGTCCATAGTCTGCATTGACAAAAGAAACACGTACAAATACCAGAGTTCAGCTGTTCAACTGTGACCCAGACTATCAGACGGTCACATGCGTAGTTCAGACCACAGAGACTCCTGAGCTACTGATTGTAAGAGACTCTTGTATTTGTCCAGCCTATTTTGTTTTTACACTCCCAACTTTTCCTTTTATTGGTTACTTGAGGTGCTCAGTGGAGACGAGCGCTGCTTTTACCGTCCTTTCTTTGTTTGTTTTAAGAGATGAGGTCAAGAGGGACAGAAACAGTCTGGAGCAGGTGTTAATCTTTCCTCGTTCAGTATCTGTGAAAAGGTTTGACTCAGTCAGATTTATTATAAATCTGCTGGACAGGTGTTGGTGGCTCGTGAGGCTTAGATTTGTAGGGCTGTCCCGAATACCATTTTTTGGTCTCTGGAGCTTCAGTAGTAATCAGCAGCAGATATTCAAAGCTTCAGCTGGGGTGCTAAATATGACTCAGAGAGGACTCAGCCAAACGTTTCACTGTTTGTTGTGTTTTATAATCATGAGGGGTTTGGTTGAACGAGGTCCTATCAATACACTTTTTGTGACCTAATAACAGCTCATGACAATTACTCTTATCATGGGAAAGTTATAGATCTACATAAATGCTCATAATAGGGATTTGTGCCCAGATTTGTGCCCATCTTCTCTTGAGGTGAAGAGCTATAACGTGTAATTTGTTGTTCAAGAAAAGCCTAATATATTCTGATAAATGGTTTGCCCACTTTTCAATTAAAAAATAATCAAGAACATTATGTTTCTGTCCTTTAAAAGCAACATCATTCTGCTTTCCCTGTTTGACAGGCTTAGTGGATTCAAAAGCAACCTCCAGGTTTTTGGCCTCTCCAAACCTGAGTGTTGGATGAGAGTGAGTGTGACTGGTAGCAGAAGGTCAGGATGGATGCTGTGTTGACATGGTAACGTGTGAATGATGAGGTGGGATAGCGGCTAAATTGGTTCTTTGTTGGTGGCGCAGCTGTCACCTAAAGGGAGGTTCCCCCTATGGGGCCCAGCAGGGCTTCCCTTAATGAGGAGCAGAGTGATGGAGACACAGATGACGGTGCTGCTGCTGCTACTGCTACTGATGCCGCTGTATTGTGTGTATGCAAAGTGCACCTCCTGTGTGTGTGTTAAAGGTCTGTCTGCTGCTGCGTTAATATACTGTGGAAAGATGCGGCTGCTTTTGTGAAGCTGCGGTACGGTGAAACACAGTCTAAACAACCGTGTTGTTGTTTGCTGAGTGCCACAAAAAAACGACCTTCTCATGTGGATTGCTGGGAGTAGTGGGATTATTGGATCCTGCTGGACACGCCTCGGGAGTCCATGTGTGTGTGCATGTGTGGTCTCTGAATCTGATCCCCCTGCATCGCCAGCTGCCATGTACACACACACGGACACAAATACACTCATATACAGTAAAGTGTGTTACAGTAACTATCACTGAGGCCTTTCTCTGCTTGCACTGCTCCACATCTATAAGTGTGTTCATGTACTAAAGATATACTAACCATGATGCATTGTGCTATTGGCCATTGACATCAGGTCGCCTTTAGAGAGGCAAGAAATGAAAGGAAATGTTTAGAGGATATATGGAGGGGGAGGGCTGAATAGGGTCTGTGTTTGTACAAGCTTGTCTCTAGAGCCCTGTAGAGGGATTAAAGGATCAGCCCCTGATAATTTCTCTCCCTCTTTCGCTCTCTCTGTCCCTCTTTCTTCTTTTCATCCACTCCGCTGAGCATCTGCATTGTTTCCTTCTCTAAAGCAATATGTACTTTATTCAAACATGTAACAAAAAAAAATAAAAAATAACATCAGAGCGACGGTTAGTGTGTCTTTTTGCCCAGTCACGCTCACTTTTGGAAAGTCCTGTAAATAAATGACTGTGTAAATGAAACCCTGGTCCCTTCTCGATGAGGCGCAGACATTATTCATGGGATTCTCTGCACATAGAGATCTTCCATTAGAGATTAATGGGAGAGAGCGATAGGTCTGTTTCCTTTTCTTGGCATCAGATGAAGATGCATAGACTCAGTCCTGATTCAGCCTCTTAGGAAAGAGGAAAAAGACTGGGCTGAAGGAGTACAAAGGGTGAAAATTAAAAGAGGCTGATTGGCATCAGGTTTGCCGTCAGACTGCGCTCTCTAGTCATTATTTTGGCAATATAACTGTGTAGTTTTAGTTGGGTTACAGGAGTTACTGTGCGTGCAGGCTCGTGTCTTCACGTGCATGTTTCTGTCCAGCTGACCACATCCACCCACTGTGGTCCACGTCAGAAGCCCAGCTCCGAGAATCGTCTGTGGGGTGGAATTACAGCACGGGCCTCTACTCGCACAGCTCGATTGTCTCGGCTGTGGAAGGGACGGATTTATTGGATACCTGAGAGAGCATTCTCTCCTTCCCCTGCACTCTCAGCAACCTGCTTAGAGACAGGCCTGCATTATAGATGAGCTTCTGGCAGCCACTACACTCTCACAGCACTCAGGTTACCCCCAGTAGATACACACAGATACAGTACATGCATTCGCACAAACATGTAAGCGGCATCTGCATGGACCAGCGGACCAGGACGCATATCGTGTAACTGTGAGGATCTCCACTTTGAGTCCCGTCTGGAACTTTTAATCCCCTTCTTCGGTTTTATTGTCAAGTATCCAAAAAAGGCAGTGTGCCAAATGACTAATGCATTTTTAAACACACACATGTTGGGCTCTGAAATTCAGGCTTGGTGTTGTAGCTTTACGGCATTTCAGCAACAAAGTTATCTGCATCAGAGGGATCAGAGGACTTTGTTGTACTTTGACCTGTGCCAAGAGGAAGAGCTGTGAATTCATGCCAGTGTTCCCTGCAGAGGTCGCAGAGGGCAACATAAACGAAGTGTGTTTCAGTTGGACTCCATGACTGTCCTGTACCCTTTAGGAAACCTCCACGTAACACAGAGCCAGCTCTCTGCTCTGCCTTTCTGTCTCCTCCCTCCTGGACTTTGATCTCCTGCTCCTGACTGTACACACTGTACAGCCTCTCACTACTTTCTTCTCCTTGTGTCCCTCGCTCTCTGTTTTCTACTGCCCCCTCAAACTCGATTGGATTTCTGAGGGCATGTTCTTCTGAGTTTAAAGGGGGGCATGAGTCACTTATAAAGCAATTGATTGACTGCTTTGTGCCGCTTTTTTGCCAAGATTTGGAAAATGAGCGCAGTCAGACTGTGGATAAGTGGCCATCTGTTTGTCTGAAAACACAGTGTATGCTACAGTTGCAACAAATTAAAACCCCCATGTGTAGGATTTGAACATTTCTGACTTTGGCAGCTCCCAGTGGTGGTGTTGAAAAGGACACTGTGGCACACCAGACACAAAGAAACAGCTACTTCAGACCTAGCCTATTTTATTTTGTTTTTATTTATACAATTGTCATATTTTTCTAACAACAACATTTGCCATCACAATAATTTGATGTAAGATAACACAATCATTCAAGATGCTACATACAACAGCTTTAAACTACACAGTAGCAAGCAAGGTTTACGCTAGACTTTTATTTTGATGGCCAATATGGCTTTTAATATTCCAGAATTCCAGCCATATAAAACAACTACTGAACATGTGTTTTAAACAGTGATATATCAGCTTACATTTAAATGGCAGTACAGCATGTCATAACAAATAATTTGAAAACAAGCTAGGTTCATTGAAGAAGCAGCATCTCTTTGAGGTCACACAATATTAGGCGATTTAATGTGCTTTAAATTAATTTATTTATTTGGCATATTTCCCACTGGACATTTTGGCCATGGATATTTTCATGTGCTGGACAACTCCACGTTATACCAGCAAAAAGCCAACATATGCCAGCTGATGTTAAACCTGGTAGCAAGTTTGGTAGAGTGGCAGTTCAGCAGTTTTCTTAAAGCTACAGTTGGTAACTTGTATAAAATATTTTTTATCATATTTTCTGAAACTGTCACTATATCTTTACAGTAGTACATGAGACAGATCTTTAAAAAAAATAATACTTCTCTTCTAGTATTGCTTTTGATGGCATTTGCAAGAATCCGCTGCACATGAACGAAAACAGCCAAACAGAGCTGAGGAGTCTGTAACGCAGCTGTCAATCACGCCAATCACTGCTCCTGAACTGTGGTCTAACTTGTCAAACTAGGTTGCACTGATCACATATGAATTAAGATTGTTTTATAATCTATTTCTTGCATCAGATATTTACAGAAACTTTTTTAGTGTACTGTTAGCTGTAAAATGAGAATGTTTTCTCTGGCTGGTGAGCGGTGCTGAGTTTTGGCTCAGCTGTTTTTAACATGGCAGTTTCAGCAAATATTACAAAAAGATAATTTTATAAAAGTTACAAACTACAGGGTTAACTACATCTATGATACAAAGCATAGCATTTTTGGTTAACATTCTTCATTGTGAGGCACAGGATATTCAAGCATGAATACCCCCCTAAAACAAAATCCAAAATGTTATACACTTATGTTTCATTCGCTTATGAAAACTGTGAGATGCTATTAATAGCACAGACAAGGTAGTAGGTGGACCTGAGTTGAGATTAGTATGTTGCACCGTATTATCCTTGTTTATCCTCGTTTATTCTTTAAGCTGTTAAATTCTCTACAGCTGTGAATATATATTTGCACTGAGCTCATTTGTCATGTTTGAGAAATGTGTGTTTTTTGCCTCAGGCTTTGGTGACAACTAGGTTTGGACTATAATTTAACATGTATGTTCAGATGATTTCAACTGATTGAGATTTGCCATACTGTGGAAACCAGCCTTTTAATAGAATCTGGGTGCATTTGGCCATTGTAGGCGATGTTACAAAACAAAGAGCAGCTCTTATTAAAATTATGATTGAATTTTTCATCAGTGTTATAATTTTGTGATGATTTTTTTTTTTTTTTTTTGGTTTTTAATCTGGATGTGATGTCTATAAACAGTTATTTATTATTTTTTATGAAAAAAGCTCTATATATTAATATATATACACTAATATGCAGGTTAAGATGGTATTGATTTTACTCCTGTTGATTAGCTGACTGAAATGAAATAGTATGTTTGCTGTGCGGCTGGCTCTGGGCCTGTGGTGGCTACGACCGGCCCTGCTGGTTAAGCAGCGAGAATGGGCTGTGTGTGCCAGATGTTTTGCTCTCAGCGGTCCTAATACACAGCAAGACTTTTAATCCCTGCTATACTGTTACTGCTTCACAGAGAACATAGTAAAGCCCCAGTGTGTGTGTGTGTGTGTGTGTGTGTGTGTGTGTGATTGGTTTAACTGTTTCCCAGAAAGTTCCCAGAATTGCATTATTTGTGCCCTGCAATGTCTTTCATCTAGCAACTCTGTCTCTTATGCACTTATTTAAAGTCTGTGTGATATTACTGACCTCCTGCGCCCTGCAGTGTTTGCACTCCATAGTTTAAAATAATCATCATTAACGTAAGCTCTCTCAACCCCCGATCTATGAGAGGAAATGAGAGGATTTTTTTTGTGGAAGTAATAGGGCCCCATGGCAACGATTCTAATCATGTTTATGTTGTATCAGAGGTGTCTACAATCATCCAAATGGATTTAACTCGCTTTTTATTTTAATCTGCATTTCGTTTTACATGGACTTTATGATTTAGATAACCTGTCTCTCTTTTTTGCTCTGTCTCCCTGTCCTCGCTGTGCAGGTGATTTTCAGCACTCAAACAAACCAGTGTGTTAGGACGTGCCCCACTCATCGCCACTGGGTAGCCCATGCACATGCACGACACCATGGGTAGCTCCCCCGAGGTGCTCTCGTGGACCTCCTGCCCCAGTCTGCTAGTGGGCAAGCTGAAGGAGGAGCTCAAGCTCACTGTGGTTGGGGACGGCATGAAGAAATCAAACTCGCCCAACTCCCAACATCAGCCTCCTCAGGCACCTCCATCCACCTTACCTCCTCAGATTATCACAGACCTGGCCCCGCCGACACACCTGCCCGTTCCCCTGCAGACACTGCAGATGCCCGGCCAGGATGAGGACTCAATGCTCGGGGGTGTGAGTCCCCCAAACACAGCCTTGAGCGTGGACTCGACACGGAGCGAGGGTGGGCACTTTGACAACAGCGTGCTCCAGCTGCAGGAGCAGGACCACGAGGAAGCCGTTTCGCCAGCCTCCTGTGAGCATGGTGGTTGTGGCAGCGGGATGGAGGAGCAGATGGGAGAAGGGGACTGTCCCATTGATCACAGTGGAGAGGGAAGGCAAAGCCATCCCCATCACCCTGATGACATCAAGCTGCACTTTCACAGAGCGGGGCCTGGGTCGGGTGGGTTCCTAGAAGGGCTGTTTGGCTGCCTTCGGCCTGTGTGGAACATCATAGGGAAGACGTACTCAACAGAATACAAGCTACAACAGCAAGGTCAGTTCTGGGTTTTATCTTTCTGCATGGTATCAGTTTAAGAAACTTAATTCATTGTGTTTAAATCAAATCTTCCTGTAAGGCTTCTGAAGAAAAAACAAGCTTCACATTCCCTCCCGTTTCTCCTCATGTAGTCTGAAACTATTATTGAATAGCTGCCCCCAGCTTCACCATATTGCTGTTGTGGGTGAAGCTGTGCAGCTGTCAGTTTCAATTGAGGTCATGGTTAAGGTAGACTCACATTGCTGCAGGGCTGCCTGCACAGGCCGGACACACAGGCTGCAGGATACGAGTTGAGGTCAGACAGAACTGGGCTGGGTCTTGTGGTTGGTCAGCTAATGTCCAAATGTAATGTGCTGCAGATTTCAGCAGCAAAGCTTCTCCTCTACGCTAGTTTCAAACCACATAACGAGGATGGAACAGCATATGACTCACTGTTTGAACATCCAAGACAGTTATAGCAGTTGTGCACAGGGCGTTATTTTTGCCCTGTATGGATAGAAAATATGAAATGGAGTGTGAACCACGTTGGGTGTGTTTTTCTTGTGCTGTAACTCTTGAGATGCTGGGTTTAGATGAGGAGAGTTGTCACAGACTTAAAGTACATGAGTATTTTGAAAGTGATTGTGTTTTTTCCTCAAGATTGATTGACAATTTCTATTTTATTTTCACTTCTTGTGATCACTGTGAGGTTGCCAGACAACCAGCAGAGACTCCAGGAACACAACCAGCACATAACCCCCCCCAAAATGGCTTATTGTCATTTTTACACTTTGGTTTTTAAACAGATTAAACAAATAAGATATAAAATGTTAATTTGTGAGCTTTAGCTGTGCTAGTGGAAGGATTTTGTTACCGTTTGACGTAGCCAGGCCCACTGTGTTTCCCCTTGTTTCCAGAGTGGTATCAAGCTACGCATTAAACTCTCTGCAAGAAAGTGACCAAGTTTATTCCTCAAAATGTTTAACTGTTCCTTGAAAGAGTAACTATGACAGCACACAGAGCATAGATGGACAAACAACACTAAAGACCAAAAATAGACAATCACATACAGTTTAAAAAGTCCCAATGTATTGCTTTTATTTTGAATAAATGTAATATACTTGTTTCCAGACATGTGGGAGGTTCCATTTGAGGAGATTTCAGAGTTGCAGTGGCTGGGCAGCGGAGCACAGGGCGCTGTCTTCTTGGGCAAGTTCCGCTCCGAGGAGGTGGCCATCAAGAAGGTGCGCGAGCAGAAGGAGACGGACATCAAACACCTACGAAAACTCAAGCACCCAAATATCATCAGCTTCAAGTAAGTCAACAGCCACTTGAGCTGGTGGAGCTCTCATAGTGTCCAAATGTGCATTCATGTATGAAGATTTGTCATGTTCTATAAATGTGTTTCCTGGGCTTTGTCCATCGTAGGGGTGTGTGCACCCAGGCGCCTTGTTACTGCATCATCATGGAGTACTGTGCCCAGGGCCAGCTGTATGAGGTGCTGAGGGCGGGGAGGAAAGTAACCCCCAGGATGCTGGTGGATTGGGCCTCAGGCATCGCCAGTGGCATGAACTACCTACACCTGCACAAGATCATCCACAGAGATCTCAAGTCTCCCAAGTGAGTTTCCACTTTCCCTGGTATTATAAGTTTTATAGCAGCAAAATTAATACTTCCTCCTGATCTGCAAATTAGCACAGTATGTTTTCTCGGTTTGTCACTGTAATGCAGCAGCCCACGGGTGCTGCGGTCACGTTCTTAAAGCTGATCAGCCTTGTTTAACATTTCTTAGCCCACAGCAACAACAACAATTCATCCTTTCAGCGCTGAGTAGTCTGACATTAACTCAAATGCCATTCTCAGAATTAATAAAAGCGAGCTGCCTTGACATGAGAATAAGACACAGTTTCCTGTCTCATCCCGCTCCTCCTGTCTCTTCCTCTGCACACTGTAGCCCTGTTTCTCTAATCAATATCATCATGCTGCGGCAGCGCCAAACACTGTATTAGTCAGCAGAATGATGGTAGGCTGAATGTGCTGGAAAGGTCAGTCTCATTCGGCTAATGGGGTGTTTCAGATGCAGAAATGTGCTTGTGTAATGGTCGAAGATTGAAATGCTACACACAGAAAGTCATACCCCTCTAAAGCCACTGGGAATTTGGCTTGAAAACGTTAAAATGCACATATGATGTCAAAGTTCAGTGTCTCGTTAATCAGCAGAAAACAAACATTCATAACCATTACAAAACCTGGTTTAAAAAAAACTAATTTTGCTGTGTAGACCATTTCTCAAGACTGTGTAGGCAAAGCAGAACATGTTTTGATTGATATCCCCATGTGAGCCACATCACAGTAGCATTAATCAATCAATCAATCAATTTTATTTATAAAGCCCAATATCACAAATCACAATTTGCCTCACAGGGCTTTACAGCATACGACATCCCTCTGTCCTTAGGACCCTCACAGCGGATAAGGAAAAACTCCCCAAAAAAACCCTTTAACGGGGGAAAAAAAGGGTAGAAACCTCAGGAAGAGCAACTGAGGAGGAATCCCTCTTCCAGGACGGACAGACGAGCAATAGGTAGAAATGTTGGCTACACAAACCAGGGTTAAATGTTACCAGCATCCAAAAGTTAGATAACCTTAAATATAGTCTAATAATATGCTAATAAGTCAGTTACAGTTAACATATAGCTTAACTTTATCTATGTTTAGCAAGTAACACATCAATGTCAATGGTAGGACATTAGGGACATGTGATGTTTGAAGAGGGAGAGACTGGAATAGAGATGCAGCCATTTTACAAAAACAAGAGTTACGTGTGTAACTATAGTTCTATGAATCCTGGATGACCGCCAGAGCATTAAGTCACTCAGAATCAATTCAGTCAAAGATTCTGCAGGAACAGATCCTCTGACGACACCGGAAGATATAGCCTGTCCAGGGTCATCAGGGGGTCACAGGTGACTTTGTTGGTATAGCTACTCGACCTGCGCGTGCGCGAGACGGAGACATTCAGTACTTATGCAGCGCTTGTGGCGGTCAGGAAGGATGAAATAGTACCATCTGGCTTTCTGGGTGGAATTATTGAACTGGTCTTAGGTGAAATATGTTCTGCATATGTGGGAGTTTTTGTGGACAATTACACCAAGGCTCACCAAAAACGCAGCCAGCTGTTTCTGCAAGTCCACCGCAGTTGAAAAATAAAAGAATGACACGTTGTCATTCAATGGTCCAATCCAAATTTGGATTGAAACTAACTTCTCATACTATTTAGATGTTCACTATTATGTACATAAGACCCTAAATTACATAGTTAGAGGGCTCCTGTGGGTTTTAGTTTCCGGTGACTTTAAACCCAGTGGAAATGTCAGAGGAAAAACTTGGCGTCCGTCTGAATGGTATAACCCAGGTCATCTGACCTGGATTAATGTCAGTCTGACACTGCTTGGCTTCAAAATGAAAGGGTGAACATGTTCGCTAATACCTCTTGAATTACTGTACAATTGATACAGATAGGACTACTGTAAACTTGTAGGAGAGACAGTCTGCTTTGGTCCTTTTAATCAGACACTCTGACCTCGCTAACACGTCTGTGTGTTTTCTGTTTGTGTGTGTTTGCAGTGTTTTGGTCACCCACAACGACACTGTGAAAATCTCCGACTTTGGAACGTCCAAAGAGCTCAGTGACAAAAGTACAAAGATGTCATTTGCGGGTACGGTGGCCTGGATGGCCCCAGAAGTGATAAGAAATGAGCCTGTGTCTGAAAAAGTAGATATCTGGTGAGTACAACAGTGAAATATTAAAAACACTGGGGCAGTATTCAACTGTTACAGTATATATCTTAAATAAGTCATGTGTTTATGTTGCTGTAGTGAGACCTGACTCTCTTTGTCTGTGTGTTCCAGGTCATTTGGAGTTGTGTTGTGGGAACTTCTGACCGGAGAGATTCCCTACAAAGACGTGGACTCCTCGGCCATCATTTGGGGTGTTGGCAGCAACAGTCTTCACCTTCCTGTCCCCTCCACCTGCCCGGACGGCTTCAAAATCCTCATGAAACAAACATGGTGAGTGTGGATTGTACATTTTGTTTAACAGCATCTTTGTACATTACATGTTAAAGTAATGCTCTTGCTAGTTACTGTTCTCACTGATTCTCGTTTTCCTGTTATTTGCTGATTCCAGGCAAGGCAAGCCCCGGAATAGGCCTTCGTTTCGTCAGATCCTCCTACACCTTGACATTGCCTCTGCTGATGTCCTAGGAGCTCCTCAGGAGACCTACTTCAAGTCTCAGGTCAGCATTATAACGGCAAAACACAATAACCTTCATTTTGTTTAAGTCAAAGGACTCTATACACTTATTTTCTTAAGATAAGTTGCACCAACAACAAGTGTAGTACAGAATTGTTAGACAGTATTTACTTGTTCTAGAAAATGTTGTTCTCTTTTGTGTCTGAGAGTGAATGGTCAGCTCTTTGACTGTGTCTGTTGACATTACAGGCAGAATGGAGGGAGGAAGTGAAGAAACATTTTGAGAAGATCAAAAGTGAAGGCACCTGTATCCACAGGCTGGACGAGGAGCTGATCCGACGCAGGCGGGATGAACTCAGGTGTGTAAGAAAGGAGAGCCAGGAGAAGACATGACACTTACAGGCACTCCAATTTCTTAAAGCAGACTTTTGAAAGTGAATATTTGTTTGCATTTCCCAAACTCTCTCAGGCATGCACTGGACATCCGGGAGCACTATGAGAGGAAGCTGGAGAGAGCCAACAACCTATACATGGAGCTCAGTGCCATCATGCTGCAGCTGGAGGTCCGAGAGAAGGAACTAATGAAGTATGTAAATAATTATCACAGTAGTTCTCAGCTAGCCTGCTCCTTTCCTCATTATCAGACCTTACTTGGGTGTACACAACTATTTCCTCTTTATAAAAAGCATTTCCAGTAATGAAATCCCATATTTGAAATTCTTACAATGACCTGGCAAGACAACTGACCGTATATTCAACTAGTGAGAAAGAAAGTCATTGTTTGGGGTTGGTTTGTAGTCACTAGAACAATAGGGCGTTTCTGAGTCACATCTGAAACAATTCTCACTTTTTTCCCACATTTCCTCCTGAACTTCTTAGGCATTGACTTGTTTTTGCTCGAGAATGACTCAAAAAAGAGACTCTTTCCACCCTTGATGTGCTGCCAGTTCTTTGACCTATTTATTCACATGTCAGGATTTCCCTCCTCTTTTGAATAATTCCAGTGGATGTTGCCTCGTGTGTTTACTAAGAAATTAAAATAGAAAGCCAAATTGTTAAATAGGTCAAGTAAAAAGTACACAATCAGCCTCCGTTTCAGATACATTAATATAGATTTGTACCCCTTGATTTCTTTTAGATTTTGGAGTAATGATCGACAACTCTGCAGAACTGAATATGAATGCTGTTCACCATCTGATAACTCCAAATGTCTTCTTCCATCCCTGTAGGAGAGAGCAGGCAGTGGAGAAGAAATATCCCGGTACCTATAAGCGGCACCTGGTCAGACCCATCGTCAGGTCCAACGCTGTAGAGAAGCTCATCAAGAAGAAAGGAAGCATGTCCCACAAACCTGGGATGCCCACTGCTAAAAGGTCTGAATCGAAGCAAATAGAAAAGCCAGTTGTAAAAGCAAAGACTGTTTCAGTTGCTACACATCCATTAGAATTTTCAGGATATGGGATTAGCTTGGAAATGTAGCCATTAAATAAATGGAAACATCAGTAACGCTTTAATTTAAGTGCAAGTATAAGATTTCATTTGCTAAGTGTATTGTTTTTATATTATTTAATTGACGGGGCGCCAAGTAGCTCACCTTGTAGAGCAGGCACCCCATGTACAAAGGGTACATCCTTGCTGCAACAGCTATAGGTTCAGTTCTGACCTGGTGCATGTCATCCTCTCTCTCTCCCCCTGTCACGCTAACAATTTTGGATGCAGCTTGTATGTTCCTGTCATTGGGTAGACTTAATTCATTTTGCTACATTATGTAAATGTTGCCAATTGCATGTCTTTCAGGCCAGACTTGCTCCGTTCTGATGGCATCCCCAGCCTCGACCCTCTCCCCTCGCCCTCGCCTCTATCAGCCAGCCCGAAGATCTCCACGCCTCCTGGCAAAGCCCGCTACCGAAGCAAGCCTCGTCACCGCCGAGCCAACAGCAAAGGAAGCCACAGCGAGTTCCCCGGGGTGCTGAAGCCTCTTGCTGGAGCACCAGAGGATGCCCAGTCGCTCCAGGAGCAGCCGTTCCTCCATCACCACCACCACCACCCGCCCCCCGAGGGGCCCTTCCTCCTCTTGAAGGGCCGCGAGGAGGCCGTTGTCAACTGTGCCAACAACCTGCGCTACTTTGGCCCCGCTGCTGCCCTCCGTAGCCCTCAGACAGACCACCTGCAGCGGCGTGTTTCTGGCTCTAGCCCTGACCTTATATCAACTGCTGTGGATGCGGACACACGACAGCGGACTTCATCCACCAGCTCCAATCCTGTTTCAGGTGCTGGTTCTTTGTGTCCCTGTTGCCAGGCTCACCCGTTCCCTGGCTGTCTACACTGTCAGGAGACCCCTCCTGCATCAAACCACCCAGAGTTGCCCCACTATTCCCTGCTCAACACCCAGGAAAGCTCCCCATCCTCTTTAGGGGCTCCCAGCAAAGATCCCACCTCAGACGGGGAAGTCACAAAGAAGGCTGAGCCACAGGAACAAGAAGCGTCCCAACGCACTCACAACCTCCTCACTGCTCTGCCCCGCACTCTCAGACCTCTCAGGAAGGTGAGCAAAGCTGGTAGCCTTGCATCGGTGAGTCTGTAGTGTATTTGTAGTAAGAAAACTGAAAGCTGATGGATTAACAGCTGTAATTGCATTTCTTACAGGCTGGCGATGAGTCATCTGAAGAGGAGGAGGGGGAGGTTGATAGTGAAGTGGAGTTTCCAAGGAGACAGAGGTAAAATACAGTTGGTCATTGAGTTTGCCACCTTGATCATCACTGCGTCGGTTACATCATGCGGTGCAGCAAAAGAAAATTACAGACATTCACCACATCATAACCAAAATAATCATAACTGACATCTCAAATACACTGAAATAGGTATGAACCAGTCTGAAAGGTAACTACTGGACGAAAACAGCACTGATGTTTTTTTTCTTCCTCTGCTTCCTTACAGACCTCATCGCTGTATGAGCAGCTTCCAGTCCTACTCCACCTTCAGTTCAGAGAACCTGTCAGTGTCTGATGGAGAGGAGGGAAACACCAGCGACCACTCCCACAGCGGGCCCCTGGAGAGGCTGAGCGCCAGTCAGGAGGAACACCTGGATGAGCTACTGTCGCACACACCCGACATCCCCATTGACATCTCCACCCAGTCAGACGGCCTCTCTGACAAGGAGTGTGCCGTCCGTAGGGTGAAGACCCAGATCTCACTGGGGAAACTGTGCTCCGACGAACACAGCTACGAGGTCAGTACTGTGGATGTGTGTGGTCACTACGGAAGCCCTTAGAGGTCGGAGCTAAATTGTTTTCTCTCCTGTGTTAATGACTTAAAGATAGGTGAAAAAAGAAAAGAAAGAAAGAATTCATGTTGTCTTCCAGGTGAGTTTGAATTCTTTATGCACTCTAAACACAAGGAACATATGTTTGTGTTAGCAGGTTATGTAGACTAGATTCTTGCCAACGCTCCAGATTTTCCCTCAAGACTCATTGCCCTCTTGCGGTTTCTTCTGGAGGTCACAGTTCCTACGTATTTCCCTGGAGTTATGACAAATTGTCACACCTTTTTTTTCTCTTTGTTATCATAAAGTGTTTTTCTGGCACTGTACAGCATGTATATATAAGCCCTAGGATTCTAAAAGTGTACTGTTTCCTCCCAGTTGGTGCTTCCACACTCCTTCCCCAACCCAAGAAATACCTATAGGGCCTGCATGAGTCTTGTGCAGTTGCCAGTGGACACCTCATCTCTGTGCTAATGGTGTAACGAATTCATACGTTCGGCGGGACGCTCTAGTGGGGGTTTGAGGTATGCCTTTGGGTTGGGGATTGAACCTTGCTTGCCCTCGCCCGCCATGGCTTGGTACCCAGCTGTCTTTCAGAGACCATGAGCATCTCATTCAGCCTTGATTAGGCATCCAGGACCCAGGGGTGTTCGGGTCAGGGAGAGCAGCCGGCTGTGGGTCCCTGGTGCGAGCCTGGCCTCACTCTTTCCCCCTGGTACTCTGCTGGGGCACCAGGGATATGAACCAAAAACTAAACCATATTAAAGTATCTCACATAAAAATGTTAGAAAAAGTTAGAATGCAGAAAACAAAGTCTCTGAAACTTAAAATTTTGACCCCCAGACCTCCCACTTTGGTTTCAAAGCCCCAAATCCTCTCTATTTTGAGCTTTTAAATTGTTAAGTTTGGTCACATAACATCACTGTCAAACACAAATATGTACCTTGTGTGTAGAGTTGTGATTATCCTCAACAGCTCAATTATCCTGCCAAAAGAAAAAATACCTGCAAAAACCTTTTTTCACCTGTTCTTAAGTCATAATCACATGAGAGAAAACAATTTAGATTAGACAGGATCACCACTTTTTCCTTACTTGGCTGTCAGGGCTTCTGTAGATCCCATCATGTTAGCTATGGAATTGTAGCCATGCTAGTGACAATTAAATAATAAAATCGATATTGTAAAGCAGCTGCCTGACACTGAATCGGTATTTTCTTTCTCATTTTTCTCCCAGAATCCACTGCAGTTTGGGGACTCAGACTGTGATTCATCAGAAGCAGAGTGCTCCGATGCTACCATTAGAAACAACAAAGTCGGGGCTCCCTCCTCGTGGTGAAACCCGCCCCAGGGCTCGGTTCTGTTTTTGCCTGGAGGCCATTGTGTCCCACTCTGCCCTGCAGAAAATACAGCAATAAGAGGACGACATTGTAAACATAGCTCCTTATAGCAAAGCCCCATGCAATCTCTCCCAGAACCTCCCCCCCAGAACAAACCTTCCCTTCATGAAACCCCCCCATTCCCCCCCTCATCTCTAGCACAGCATCCAGGCAACCCATGGCAGGGATTCCCTTTTCAATGATACTGTACAGTAGATAGTGTAACATTCATAATTTATTTTTGTCTGAGTTTTGAAGGAAAATTCAGGACATCTGTAATTCTCTGATCTGAACAGAGAAAAAAACTGACATTTTGAAACTGAGCATGGGCTAAGTGTGTGTGATGATTATGACGATGAGAAGGAGGATGTGTTGAAGCGCTGATGCATCAGTGTGGAGTTACATCGCTGCGATTGTCGGTCTCAGGTGACTGACGCAGACAAAGGAGCGTCACTACAAGCCTATCATCGCCCTCAGCATATTACTGTTTTAGATGGAAATCCCCAACCAACAAGGACCCCCTCTTACTGACGTAAGATCAACCTGCTTTCTCATAGTTTACAGTGCAGAGCCCCAGTCCCCTGCCTCTCCCACTCCCATCCCGTCCCCACCACGGAGAGTGGGGAACAGGGAGCTCATGAAAAACAGTGTGAACACCAGCATGAACAACCTGCCTCGCAACTGGACTCCCTCCCTCCTTAGAAACCACCACGTGTCTAAGTCAGTCATCGGGAACCCAGCTAAACTGTCCAAGCATGCCGGTGCAGCGTTGCAGAAAAAATGCAAACGCTGCCAGAAGACTGCATGAAGTGGACAAGCTAGCAGAGCAACAGAGATGAAGAGTCGTCTGAGAGCTGAGGAGAAGACAAAACAAACAAAAATAACAGACTCTTCCTCTGTAACCCAGCTCATCCTTCTCTGAGACACGCCAACGTCATTGTCATCATCAATCAGATGTCATGACCAGAGTCGTTTAGGGAGTTGTCAGTGAGTGTGTGTGAGTGTGAGTGTGTGTGTGTGTGTGTGTGTGTGTGTGTGTGTGTGTATGAACACAGAGCCCTTTCCTCTCCATTAGACATTACAGTTTCAAGTCTCATCTCAGGATTGTTCGCGGACTGTGAGAAACTGGACCGGACCAATTGTTGTATGTAGGAATCTTCTTCGAGTGGCACATAATACGGACCATACAGGAATATTTAAAGAAAAGGTCTTACAGATAGCCTTGATGTTCAACCCTTTATTGCTGTAACAGACATTAATGTCATGTAGAGCGTTTTTAGTTGCAATCCAGGTGCAGTATCCCGTTTCTTGAATCCACTAGGTGCAGCATCTCCCATCTACCATTTTCTAGCAGGGTAATTTCTACTGTCTGACACGCAACGTCCAAAAATAACAATTGTTTTCTGTGCTGTAGTGAAAAAAACAGCAATAATGTAGGTTGGCGCTCAGGTGAGAAAGAAGTTGCTTGCTCAGGATCCGGGGCGTCTAGCTGGCTAGACACGATACAGTGACTGGTGGCTAGAGGAGAGCAGCAAGTGTCGAACTGGTTATTGATATAGATGATATATTTTTTAAATGGTCCCATTTTTATGAACTGGCCTTTCCGGGGGTTTGATGCTCAGGTTTTATGTTGCCGATTGAGAGCAGGAGCAATATATCAACAGCCACTAGATGGCGACAGTTACAATGACTTACTTTTCCTTTTGTTATGTAAAAGTCCTGACTGACTGATTCCTTTTCTTTTTTTTTTACCCAGGGTAATTTATCTGATGTTTCCCATCACCATAGAATCACAGCAATATTACAATTTTTGACTTGTTGTCTTTGAAAAGGGATACTGCACCTGTGAGAGCTTTGCTTTTTACCCCTATTAGAGTGTTTGTCATCCACCTTAATGATTCTGCGGTTAAAAAAAAAAAAAAGAAAAAAAAAAAAGAGCCAGCCAGGGTTGAATTTAACGATAATGATGTCAAGATGCCAGCTCAAATGTACGCAGGCGGCTGAGATTCTAAGTTAGGAATATAAGCCAGAGACGAGGCCACAGAGCAATCAAGCTGCTCTTGGTTTTCAGCAACCTCATCTCAGTGTTAGTTACTCCTGTATATAAACATCTGTAAATGTAATCTGTTATTGTCCTCTCTCTCTGATGTACCGCACAGCGCTGACAGAGCCCTCTGTCACTGATGACCAGCCCCGACTGGTTGAAAATGAGCAGGAAATTCTTTCATCTGTATTACATCAGTATTGAACACTGCAGGAGGGTGTGAGTCACGAGAACCGAGTAGCACAAGGTGAATCTAAAACTGTACTGACGGATCAATTACCTTTTGCTTGAAAGCTTTGGAAAGGCTTACACCTGGTACCGAAAGCAGCTGCTGCCTTTCCTCGAGCCTCCTTCTTCACTCTGTTTACGTACGTGTGAAATAACCTAGTGTATTGTAATGACTGGGTGATCCGATCAAGCTGTTAATAACATTGTCTTTCTGGCATATATCCTGTGAAGTATGATTGTTGTAAAGTTTTAATTTAATTTTTGATTGTTTTTTTTCTTTGTAGCTGGCCTACATGATTATTGAGTTAATTTATTATGAATGACTGGTAAGGTGTTCTTTTTAATTTCAGGCAGCTTTAGAAAGTCATGACCTATGATTTCTCCTAAAGTATTATTTAAAGGAAGCACAATGAATTGGTGTGGGAAGAGGACAGTATTTGTGTGGCAGAACAAAAGCATTGTCATATCACGGGCATCATTTTTGTCTTTGTGACCCTGCAAGGGACCATCCATCATTTAGATCATTAAGTATTGATTTAGCAGACTTCACATCGGTAATTAGCCACATCAGGAGTTCCTAAAGCTTTTTTCTTATCTCGACATAAGCTATAAGGAATCACTTCTAGTGCAACCAAAAGCCAGTCAGTGCACTGTCACAGCAGGGTAAATGAGACGTTAAGCGTGAAGGCACGTGTGATGCCGATTTCTGTACTTCTGCAGAGATCCCTTCCTCTCGTTTTTAATCAAAATACCAGTTACTTACATCTGAATTTCTGTGAAATTGTCTCTAACGGTAGACATCATGTTGCCTCATCCCATGTATCAAACATCTGTTTCTTTGTTACTCTCATTTCCAACTCCCTTTCCTGTTGAATGGCATTACGATCAACCAATCCTGTCAGTTTCCTGTATTATCCAGTGTACAGTGCAATGGGTATCTGGGAGAATAAAATCAGAGCAAACAACTGCATGGAATAAATGCTGATGTACTGTACCCAACACACTGTGGTCCATCTCTTTTGTGACACAACAGATGCTTGTTGATTTTCAGCTCATTAGATGTACTCATATTTCATATTAATTGATAGTAATTCATAGATTTATTAAGTTTTAGAGATTAATTATATTGCTGTGTCATGTGCATTCATAGAAGCTATAGTACCCGTAGTCCCATAGGCGTAGATTTTGGTGAGGGGGGGACACTGGCACTAGCAGAGGATTTTTATTTTGATTGAATTAAAGACATTTTTACCATAAATTGATGCAAACAAATCACCAGTATACAGGATATTAAGTGTTTAATGCTTAAAATTTCCTGGAGGAGGATAGCAAATCCCCTGTTTCAAATGTGTATCTCCCATGTTGCCTAAAGCAGTGGTTTCCAACTGGGGTCCAGATTTCTCCTTAGTCCTTTGTTCAAGGTTCACAGTTTAATACATTCAGTGTCATACATGCGTTTGATCATGTCATCATCAAGCTAGTAGGCTGTCTCTGCTAAGTAGCTGACAGTCACACACAGTAGAAAACTGCACTTCAAAATAAAAGCTCTGCTGAAAATTCTCTGTACTTCAAAATACGGTATGTTTTTTTTAAGGATGTTTACACATTTGGGGGTCACGTGCAGTCCATTCAGAATTGACCCGCAACCCACTTTTGGACCGGACCCACCAGTTGGGAACCACTGGTCTAAAGGTCTTAAAACAGCAATGTAATATGAGACAGGACCATGGCAAGGATTTTTAAAGTACCTCATGCCTCTAAGAAATGTATTATTTTTTTTCTCTCCACATAAAGTTTGTATCAAAGTCTTCTCCAAAGTGCCAAGAATTTGGTGGAGAAAACTCCCTTCATTTCAACACCAATGACATGTAAACCAATCAATCAATCAATCAATCAATCAATCAATTTTATTTATAAAGCCCAATATCACAAATCACAATTTGCCTCACAGGGCTTTACAGCATACGACACCCCTCTGTCCTTTGGACCCTCACAGCGGATAAGGAAAAACTCCCCAAAAAAAACCC